TTTAGATCATTATGTATTTGTAAAGAAATTTTTTGATGGTGATTTCATTTCTCTTTCTTTATGTTGATAGTTAGCCATGCTTCTAACAAGATTGATTGGTTGAAAACGGAGCTTAGCAAGTTTTTCAAGATAGACAAAATGGGAAGTTATGGTTATCCCAAGAAAAATATATTGAAAAGTTTCTTAAGAGATGCAACATGAGCAATGCAAAACTAGTTACTACTCCACTTGTAGGTCATTTTAAGCTCAATACTAAACAATGTCCTACAAGTGAGATAGACAAAGTAGAAATGAAGAAAGTGCCTTATGCATCAGCAATTGGGAGTTTAATGTATGCTATGGTGTGCACGAGGTCAGACATTGCTCATGCTGTTGGTATATTTAGTTGGCTTCTATCTAACCCCGACAAAAAACATTGGGCACCGGTAAAATGAATATTTAGGTATCTCAGAGGTACTTCTTAGATATGCTCTTGCTTCGGGAATGGTTAAGTCATGTTGGATGGGTATACAAATGCAGATATGGCTGATGATGTTGACTCCCAAAAGTCCACTTCGGGATACATAATGACCTTTGTAGGAGAGTAATTCCATGGCAATCCAAACTTCAAAAGTGTGTTGCATTGTCCACCATAGAAGCAAAATACATTGCAACTACAGAAACTTGTAAGGAGATCCTATGGTTGAAGAAGTTCTTACAAGAATTAGGCATGAAACAAGAAAGATTTGCTCTTTATTGTGATAGTCAGAGTGCTATCAATCTCTCTAAAAATCCAAATTTTCACTCAATATCCAAACACATTGATGTAAGGTACTATTGGATTCGGGATGTATTAAATATGAAGTTACTGAATATTAAGAAGATTCATACTAATGAGAATGGTGCAAATATGTTAACAAAGTACTTGCCTAGAAACAAATTTGAATTTTGCAAAGAAGCTACGGGTTTGATGAAGCCCCCCATATGAACCGGAGGGGTAGAATTGTTGGGTGTGGGTCCAACCCATATAAGGGGCCCACCCCACCTTTTCTTGCTCCCAAAAAAGAGTCCTATTGTGGAAGCCAAAAAGGCTCCCACCTTTTTAATTTGGTGTGCTTCCATTTCGTAACCATGGAAGTGAGAAAGAGAGAAGAAAAATAGAGAGGGAACCGAGGGTTTTTCTGGGTTTTGAATTTTGTGAAGAAGAGAAGAAAGAGTTGGTTTTTATTCCATTCAAGGCCAAGTTTGGATGTGTTTTCAAGCCCGTTCTTGATGTGATTAAGTGTTATTCAAGGAGTCAAGAGTCTCACTCTAGTTTAGATTGGCTGTTTCTTCCTTTTTTCTCAATTTCATATTTACAGTAACTTGGTGAGATCCAAAACTTTATTTTTGTTGAATCCATCTTACATTTGGTGATGTTAATGCTATACTTGTGAGCCAAAGATTATTTCCTTGATGTTTGTAAACCTCTAGTTGCTACTAAAGATGACTGCTGTACTCATTAATTTCTGAATTAGTGGAAGATTTTTATGGGCTATAGGTCCCGTGGTTTTTCCCCAATTTTAGAATTTTTCACGTAAAAATTTTGGTGTACTATTGTGTGGTGACTACTATTTGTATTTTCTATTACTTGGCTGAATTGTTTATCTTCTGTCATTATTGTTGACAAACCCATTTTAACACACACACTTAGGGGAAAGTTTCTTGCTGTCTTGAGATTGCTTTTCATACTCATTTATGCTACCGTAGTGCATGGTTCAAAGTATCGATACGATACGCCCTGTATCAGGTGTATCGTATCGTATCGTATCTTTTGAAAACGATATGGTCCGAAACGCTTGTTTTCTAGGTATTTCAAACCACCAATTTTTTTAATAATAAAAAACATGCTAAAAGCTTCCCGAAAAACCAAATTTGAAAAAAAAAAACTAAAAAAAAAATAGAGTTTTGTCCGTTTCTAAGTGCCGATACGATACGACCATATTGATACTTTGAACCTTGTTGTAATGTATCTTCTCCAACAATATCTATACTAATTAGATATATGATATTTAATTAGGTTTCCTCTAGATATCATGTCATCATCTTAAACAATGTATTCCCTGTATTTTATACTTTTTTAAATAGTTTCATTTAGATGTTTGATATTTCAAAATTTTTAAATAAATAAAATTATGGGCTGTACTTTGGTTGAAAGTAATATCGAAATTTCATTAAATTGTAGCAAAATTCAAACCATGATCAACATGCTGAACACCCCTAGTTGCATCCTTGTGGGCACGTACACTTGCTGTTTTTTAAAATAGCAAAAACAGTATCTCCATAAATGTTCATAGTTATATATTGAAGTAATTAAGTTCTAGCCATAGCTTGATGCTTCTCATTGACCCTGTGAGTTACAAAAATTAATCATAAGGATACATTTATTATTAAAGCACATAAAAATATATGTAGAATATAAACTATTTTGAATGCTTTGGTCAGCAGTTTTTCGTCATCAGCTCAAATTGAGTTCCTTCCAAGAAAACCATGTGATCGATGTCAACTATATTTATGGTTTTCTCACAACTGGAAATAAAAAGTTAAAAGCAATCAGACAAAACTGATAGTTAAAATATAAAGATACAGTAGCTTGTTCAGCTGTTCTGTCTTGATTTTGTGATAAAATTAATTCTATTGCCATATGTGATATGTATAGTGATTTAGCTGCCATTGCATAGTTGACTACGAAATCTAAAGAGTAGTCATCCAAGAAAGTGTAGATCCTAATTCACCTTCTGCTATACAGCTCTCTGTGTGAATTAAATGCATATACAAACGCTTTGTCAGATGGCAAGCTGTATTCTGATCTTGCCTGCTTGGAACATTAAAAAAAGGGGGTTTGAATTCTACGAAAGAGTATTAGATGTATATATTTTTCGGACCCCCAAAGCCGAAGCGGGGAACTCTCGTAACTACATCCTTCCCTTCTTCCTCGGTTTCAACTTTCAAGTTGTAACTATATTATAATATCATTATTGGCCCAAATGCTCGTATTGAAAAGAAAATGAAGATAATGATTATTATCGCTTTAATTAAGTAATGTAGACAACGCGTGTGTAGGAATATATATATATATATATATATATATAGATATATAGATATATAGATAGTTGTTTAATCCAAAGAATCCAACATCAAACACTTGCCAGATGGCAATTAGCAAATTATCCATGCCACAATGTATATGTTCTTTTAATTTCAAAAATGTTGATGCATGGAGTGTTACAAATTAATAATTATCACTTATTAGTCATACTCATACCATGATATTATTATGGATTTAAGAGTTTCTGTGACTAAATTAAGAGTTTCATGTCTTTTATCTTTTAGTGGGGAAGTTCAGTTTAATTCTTCCATCAATAAAAGTACAATTTAATTAATTAAACATATTCCTAAAAAAGGTACTCTAACATACCTTTCGGTGATTCTCGGAACCGGGTTAGGCCTCACTGTGCTTACTGGAAGGGCTCTGACCAATCAACCCCCCTCGCGTATCGTGATTAGAGGGTGTAATTTGGGCGGGTCTAAAACGAATTCAATCTGATTGAACCCGAGTTTTTGCACTGGTTGGCATAATATTTTAGTTGTGGGCAGGGTTCGAGCTAAAAAAAAATTAGGCTTGGCCTAAACATGGGATAGTCACCCGGTCCAATCCAACCTGAGCATGTTTGAATTGAACAAATAGATACATACATACATACATGCATTATATTTATATAAAACCATATTTTATTTTCTAATCATAACCATATATACATGTATATATTTATAAACTAACTAAACATGTATTTATCTTTATAAATGAAATTTGTAAAGTGTGTTCATAAATTCTTCCAAACCCAACGAACCTGCTTAACCTGACTGAACTTCGCTTGGCCCAACCTGAGTCCAAGCTATATTGGGTTGATAAACTTGGGCCTGATCTTGGGTTGGGCCAGGCCCAAGCCCGAGGTTTACAATTTTAGGGTTGGGCCTTGATTGACCTTCAACTTAACCCACCCTGCCTGAATTGCACCCCAATGTTGATAAATACCACCCAATTGTTTATCACTTTCATGATACTAGTTAATTCGTTATAACTTTTAGATGAGTTCACTTCATCTTCATCTAAGCCCAATAATTGATGAATATGTTTCATTCAGTTTTGCAAACCAATAAAACATGTTTGATTGAGCCATTTGATTAAAAGATAAGGCAAGAATTATTGACAATTGGGCACCGGTTCCGGCGATGTTTAGGGACTATAAACCCAGCTGCTGTTTCTTAATCCAATGCCTTCCTTAATAAATAGTGCCTAATTAGGTCAATTAATGCCAATAGGAGCCTCTAACGGATCAAAGATTATTGTTACAAGTTTATGGATTAAATATGTTTTGCTGTCTCATGACGATAGAAGAGCAGCGCGCATAGGTTAAAATGTAGAATAAAGTAACCAAAACTACTCTTAAATTGCATAATAATTGAAAAAAACTTAAAAAAAAAAACAATAACCAAACAGCTGCAGCCTCCGATTTCAAAGTGTTTCAAATTTTCTATAACGACATCGCTGATATCGAAAGATCAACACTTTGATCAAGCAAAAACATCTACGCGTGGTCATAACACATATAAGCTCATGGCGACCGTAATCGTGTTCGTGCCCACTGCCCACCCACGTAAAAGAGGTTGAATCTCCTCGCTATATATGTTTTTTTTTTTTTTTTTTTTTTTTTTTCTGTAGTCAAGTTCTCATCAGTGCCAACCAAACTACGCGTTTGGACTTGTGATTTGTGAAGGTGACCCAGAAAAACAAAGTTTAAAAACCCACAATAAGTCCCTCAAAATATTGAAGTCAAAGATGAGGCAACATGGCATCCAAATAACTTATTTGATGCTACTGCCTTCCTTTTAATTATATTATGTATGTGCCAAGGAAATTGTTACATGTATATAGATATCAGCTCACAGCCTGTCATGGATTCCTTCCAATTTATCCTATATAAAGGTAACCATTAATTCCCCCTTACACACAGAAAGCCTAGCTCGAGGTTGTTGCTGGTTGTTCAGGGACGCCTGTTTAATGGCAACCATCACCACAATAACGCTTAGTCTGTTTCTGTTATTCCTACCCTTCACTTGTTTAATTCTGTCTGCTGCTGCATCCCACGATGTCCCCGGCGGTGTAAATTGGTGGTGCAACAGAACCCCGTATCCTGATACTTGCAAATCTTCCATGAACCCTGATCCTCGCTCTAATGCTCCCAAAAGAAAACATGAATTTCGAAAGATGTCGCTGCAAGCTGCCATGGAGCGTGCTCTTCGTGCCGAGAGCCACACCAAGTGGCTCGGTCCGAAATGCCGTAATAAGCGAGAGAAGGTCGCTTGGGCTGACTGTTTGCAGCTTTACCAGAATACTGTTCTCCAACTCAACACCACTCTCAACCCGTATAGCAGATACACTGACGTCGATGTCCAAACATGGCTTAGCACGGCCCTTACAAACCTTGAGACCTGCAAGACTGGTTTCATTGAGCTCGGGGTTTCAGATTTTATGTTGCCTCTCATGTCCAACAATGTCTCCAAGCTGATTAGCAATACATTGGCGATCAATAACAATGCTACTACAACCCAGAACCAAAGTTACACAGGAGGGTACCCGAGTTGGGTATCGGCTGGTGACCGGAAGCTCTTGCAGTCATCTTCTCCGGCTTCACAAGCAAACATTGTGGTCGCACAAGATGGGTCCGGAAATTTCCGCACCATTAAAGAGGCTTTGAGTGCTGCTTCGCAGCAAAGGACAGGAAGCGGAAGGTTTGTAATTTATGTGAAGAAAGGTGCTTACATCGAGAATCTTGAGATTGGAAGCAGCTTACAAAATATCATGCTCGTCGGGGATGGCATGAGGAACACGATTATCACCGGTAACAGGAGCGTCGGAGGAGGTTCCACCACCTTCAACTCTGCAACTGTTGGTAAGGGAACTGAATTAATTTAATTATCTCTTAATTTCTAGCAATTACATTAATTTGTCATCGATCATAAAGAAATGGTGGAACACTAAGACATGATCATAGCTAGCCATCCAATTAATTGCATGCCCAAGTTACGTTATTTCTGATGATTATCACCCGATTACTAACTTTCCTGTAATTTTATGGCTATGTATCAGCGGTCACCGGGCAAGGATTCATCGCAATGGGCATTACATTCCGTAACACGGCCGGTCCAGAAAACCATCAAGCAGTGGCACTACGATCAGGCTCTGATCTATCTGTCTTCTACCGTTGTGGCTTTGAAGGATATCAGGATACGCTATACGTCCACTCTCAAAGACAGTTGTACAAAGAATGCTATATATATGGCACAGTCGATTTTATCTTTGGAAATGCTGCTGTAGTTTTACAAAACTGCATGATCTTTGCAAGAAGGCCAATGGACAACCAAAACAATGTGGTAACGGCGCAGGGACGAACAGATCCCAACCAAAACACTGGGATTTCAATCCACAATTCGAGAATCATGGCTTCATCAGATCTGGTGCCAGTGCTGAGCTCATTCAAGACATTCTTGGGACGACCATGGAAGCAGTATTCTCGAACCGTCTATCTGACGTCATATATCGATACATTGGTCGATCCTGCTGGATGGATGGAATGGAGTGGTAATTTTGCTTTGGATACATTGTACTATGGAGAGTATAAAAACTACGGGCCAGGTTCTTCGACAGCAAATAGAGTCAATTGGGGTGGTTATCGCGTTATAACCAAATCATCTGAAGCTTCACAGTTCACCGTAGGGAAGTTTATTTCCGGCGATTCCTGGTTACCTGCAACAGGTGTGCCGTTCAAATCGGGCCTCTGAAACACTTCAATATTTCTTAATGTAACCTGTATGTGGATCAACGTTCAATTCTTACCCGAATGTTTGACGAGTCTGCTTCAATTAACAACCAACCCAATAACATTTTTTCTTTTTCAATGAATGACCTCAAATTCTCTAATAAAAACCAATTGATGGACCTCACCTAACGTGGTTAAGATTTAAGGTATATGACATATGGTATCACAACCTTCTTGACCAAGTGATCTTATCCCATTATAACTAATTAAATTTTAGCACGTAATACTGTGTGACATATGTTTTAGTTAATGCGCCTTTCAACTAAACTTTTTCGCTTCATTAGATGAAAATTATCCTTATTTTATTATCTTTGTCAAAATAATTAAAAATAAAAATAATGAAAAAGGAAAACCTAAACATGTTGGGAGTTGGGACTCATTTATATTTTTCTTTTTTCTTTTTTTTTTTTATTTTTAATTATTTTGACAAAGATAATAAAATAATGGATAATTTCCGTCTAATGGAGCAAAAATGTTTGGATGAAAGGTGCATTAACTAAGACGTGTCACACAACTATTACGTGCTCACTCATTATGCTTATCTAACGTGCCTACTACATCCGAACCCGTGTGTAAGCCCATGTTTATTCATACCAATGTTTTAAAATACGACCCAGAATTGGAATCGTTCTAACCACTGGTTTACAGTCGATGGTTCCATCGTTCAATTTGAACGAATGGCCATTTTGATAAAAAAATTAAAAAATAATTAAAATAAAAATGGCAAAAACTGTTGAATGAGTCAAACGCGTTAATGGGTCGTTGACCGATTCAACAGTTTTTGGCCAGGAATCAGGTTTGGGGTAAAACTGAATCGGTTGCCTGGACAGTTCTTGGGCCAAATGGTCCAACTGTCCAGATCAATTGTGGTTCAAAAACCATGGTTCATGCTTCAAGTCTAATGGGTGCAAATTTTTAAGTTGGAGAGTTCTTGAGAGTTGTAAAATCTAAGAAAAATTGTTAAAATTGTTCAGGTTATGATTGAGCAGGCCCCGAGTACCACGTGCCACATCTGTGACCATCTTACCACTTCGGCCACGTCGGCACCACTTCAAATGGATAAGCACGACCAAAATACGGTCAAACAAATTAAGCCATGTAAAAAAATCTTAAGTTATGGCTTAAACAAAAAACAATAAAAATTAGGAGGGAAGAGCACCCAAGGATTATAAGTGCGCAAGGATGGATACCTGATCAAAGCAGTTGACACAGCTAGTTTACATAATAGCTGCTATGTATCAATTGCTATATAATATACCCAATCATGAGTAAACACATAAACTATGCGTGCGGTAATCAGATGTACAAGAATCCGATGTGTTTACTCATGATTGAATTTTGTATCCCATTGTACATTTTCTCTTTGTAGCAAATCTAGAGCCATGACCTTCACTTCGTCGTTAATGACATTATGTATCATAAGATAAGATAAAAGGAAAACTTCGGCTGCCAACATTTGACAGCCTGAGCTGTCAGCTGTCAAAAGAGCCTGCAGAAGCCTTCTTTTTTGGGTAAATTATAAAGACCCCCTTGTACTATGGGGTCTGTGATAAATACTCCCATGTATTTTGTTTTGCGACAAAGACCCCCTTGTACTATGACCGTGAGACAAAGACCCCCTTTCATTAGCCTTCCATTCAAAAAGGTCGTTACAATATATTTTAATCCCCATACCACCCTTGTAATAATTAGACGAGAAAAACATTGTTCATCTTCCCCGACCTTTTGATACTACCCTTCCGTTCCTTCACATTTCTCTCTCTCCTCTCTTTCCCCCGATCTCTCTTCTCGCCCTTCCCCTTAACAGTGTCGGGATTGAACCCATTTAATTCAATCTCGATCTCTCTCTCCATTACTGCTTTCTTCAAATCCAGATCTCTCTCTCTCTCTCTCTCCATTTGCCTACTTCCCTAACCAGTTCAAAACTTTCAACCCATCCTCAAATGCAGCCGGATAGGCAACTTCCACCACCGTGAAATTGCAACATGATAGGTTTTGGGCGTTCCAGGAGCGCCATAGCTGTTACGACGAAGGTTCTGGAGATTGGGATTTGTACCGAAAGCGGCAGATGATCACACAACTTGTGATGGACTTCGATTAGCAGCGGGAGTGCCATTAGCTGGTTCTATTCTTCTCATCATTAAACCTCCCTGCTTCTGCGATTGTTCATCTTCATCATGGTATACATATGCAAAGCCACCATGCCGGGTCATATCCATTCCGACCATCTCATCCTTAGCCGATATCCTCAACAAATTCATCTTATTTAACACATAAAACAGAGGACCCTTGGTGGCACTCACCCACTGTTACGATGAAGGTTCAGGAGGTTGGGATTTGCATCGAGAGCGGCAAATGACCACACAGCTTGTGATGGACTTCGATTAGCAGCGGGAGTGCCATTAGCTGGTTCTGTTCTTCTCATCATTAAACTTCCCTACTTTTGCGATTGTTCATCTTCATCATGGTATAAAACAGAGGACCCATTCCGGCCATCTCATCCTCAGCCGATATCCTCAGCAAATTCATCTTATTTAACACATAAAATAGAGGACCCATGGTGGCACTCACCCACCCAACAATCGTCAAAATCTGGATAATTTGAGCAGCTAAGAGCTTTCCACCTCCTCCCATGAACAAACCATATGGCCTCCTTGTGGCCTGGTATACCTCCTGCACATATATGCCCCTTGCAAACAAGCCCGTGAATATAAGACCCCAACTTCCATAGCCACCGTGCAATTGCGCAGACTCTAGTGGGTCATCATATTTGAACTTCTTAGCAAGCTTGTTGCATCCAATCAAGACCTAGGAGGCAACGAAACCGCAGACGATAGCAGCCCATGGCTCCACCACTGAGCAGCCAGAGGTGATTGCCGTGAACCCACCAAGCAATCCATTGCACACATCGGTAATGTTCTAGTGTCCTGAAATCAACCTTTTCCCGAACAGAGTGGTCAGCGCAGCCATGCAACTGGCCAAGGTCGTGGTCACTGCAGTCCGACCGAGTAAATGAGGTAAGCGACGAACTGGGTTTCTCTCCGCTATAGAACTGCTGGTGATCCTTGCAGTAGTGATGGAAAAAGCCCATTAATACAGGAAGTTACTGTAATCGAACAAATTTGACGGGAACACCTTCATGCCCAAGAAGTGACGGCCGATGAAGCCATTGGAAGGAGAACTAGAGACAAAGGCGAACCTGAAGAGATAGTAAAATAGACTCCCAGCGGCCGTGTCAAGCACGTTGGTGAGCATTATGTTCATAGTGTTCTTGGCTCGAATGGAGAAGAGAAGAAAGGGAAGATGATAAATGGATTTCCTCTATCCTTTCATTTAGGAGAGTTGGGAGAGAGAAAGAATAAGAGAGGACGGTGAGGGAGAGGAAAAGAAGAGAAGAAAGGGAAAACAATAGGTTAAATAGGTTTTAAGAGAAAAAGGGCAAAAAAAGAAAATAGAAAAAATTTAGTAGGGTATTTTGATAATTTAACGCATTCCATCATCTAACTTAACGGTCAAGGGGGGTTTTTGTTTCATGGTCATAGTACAAGGGGTCTTTGTTGCAAAACAAAGTACAGGGGGGTCTTTGTAATTTACCCTTCTTTTTTTTTTTCCTTTTTTTTTTCTGAGATTAAGCCATTATGGGGTGAGACAAAACAAGGGTACACATGAGGTCTATTGCAGTTACCAAATAAAAAGAAAACAAAAAAATCCCATTTAGGCCATCCAACCGAGCGACCATTCCAAATTCTCGGTAGCAAGGGTCTTTTTTTTTGGATTTTGAGAGGGGGGAAAGTTGGTCAATAAGATTTTGATTTCCATTAACAAAAAATCGCGTATTCTTTTTTTAGATTTATGTGGGGACCGGGAAAAGTTTTATGTATCATTTACCTAGGTAAGTGATACCCATATCCAAGGTGGGTAAATATCTTTCCCACTTGGGGGGAAGTTGTCAACACTTGAATGAAACAAAAATGCCCCTTTTAATAATGAATTTTTATGGCTAAAATGGTCATTGCCTTATTTACATGGAAAATAAAAGAACATGGGCAAATGCATTTAGCCGGATATATCTTTCTTGGGAAATACTTACATAGGTAAAGAAAAAAAAAACTATTGGTGCTGCATTTTAAAGCAGTATTTTAAAAACTGACCTAGAGGCTGAACCATTTTTGCCTCTGGGTTGCGGGCCTCCAGTTCGATTGCCAGAGTTGAACAGGTCAGACTGTGTCACATCAATGTTTATATATTTTAAGTGTATATATGTACAAATACATATTTTATCAATGGATAGTGTATAATTATATTTTAGGCATGATATAGGCATTATTTTATATTTAATTTATGCTTTTTAATTCAGTTTTTAATTTTTTATGTATAAAAATATTAAAAATTACAAATTGAGGTAAAAAAATGTATTTATTTTCTTTGCAAAAATAGCGTGGCAAGGCGCCTTTGGCTAATCCAACCTAACTTAAACCTAGTTTATATATATATATGCGCATGTAAGATGTATTATTTGTGCGACTATGTATCTATAAATATATGTATTTATCTATCTATATGTATGACAATAACAATTTTAAGTTAAATGGTGAAACTTTTCAAAAATAGTGATAACTATATCCTTTTACATATAATAATTCTAAAACTAAATTTAATTCAACCCTTGAGTCTAGTAAATAAGTAAATTTGGCAAAAATAAAATAGAGATCTTGGGCCAATCCAAATCCAAACTGAACCCAATCCAATTTAAACTTTTGAATAGGTTAGGATTAGGGTTAGGGGATTCATAACTTGGTTTGGGTTAGTGTTTCCTGCAAGTGTGCGTAATGATGAATTGCAAATTATCCAAACAACTGAAATTGCACGTTTGATTATAATTGATGATCTTAAAATTGGAAGAGTAATTAATTAAATTGGCAGTTTACAACGATCTAGAGATACTAGGTAGAGCTCTCATTTTAATTCAATTTGTACTACTATAAATATATGGGAGTGCAAATATAAAAAAATGCAAATTATTGTTTAATTTTATTTTGGATTTTACTTTATGTCTTAACTTATTTCATTTGTACTGCA